CCACCTATCTTCTCCTCTATCCATCTTCTGTCCGCCTCCCCCTCTCTCCCTATTTATTTCAGAACCCCTTTCCCCTCCCCCTTTTCTGATGAAGGGTCTAGGCCTGAAATGTCAGCCTTTCTGCTCCTATGATGCTGCTTGGCCTGCTGTGTTCATCCAGCCCTGCATCTTGTTGTCTCGGATTCTCCAGCATCTGCAGTTCCTACTATCTGATTCAATTTTAATGCCACTGATTGGTGCTGGGTCCGCTGCTTTGTCATTTATATAAATGATTTGGATGTGAATGTAAGAGGTATGGTTAGTAAGTTTGCAGATGACACCAAAATTGGAGGTGTAGTGGACAGCGAAGAAGGTTACCTCAGACCTCTTAATCAGATGGGCCAATGGACTGAAGAGGCAGATGGGGTTTAATTTGGATAAATGTGAGGTCCTGCATTTTGGAAAGGCAAATCAGGGCAGGACTTGTACACTTAATGGTGAGGTCCTGGGGAGTGTCGCTGAACAGAGACCTTTAGAGTGCAAGTTCATAGTTCTTTGAAAGTGGAGTTGTAGGTAGGTAGGTAGGATAGTGAAGAAGGGATTTGGTATGCTTGCCTTTATTGGTCAGTGTATTGAGTATAGGAATTGGGTGGTCGTGTTGTGGCTGTATAGGACATTGGTTAGGCCTCTCTTAGAATACTGCGTGCAATTCTGATCTCCCTGCTGTAGTAGGAATGTTGTGAAACTTGGAAGGGTTCAGAAAAGAATTACAAGGATGTTGCAGTGCTGGAGGGTCTGAGCTATAGGGAGAGGCTGAATAGACTGGGACTATTTTCCCTGGAACATCAGAGACTGAGAGGTGATCTTGAGGAGCATGGATAGGGTAAATAGATGAGGTCTTTCCCTGGGGTGGGGGAGTCCAAAACTAGAGGGCATAGGTTTAAGGTGAGAGGGTAAAGATTTAAAAGGGACCTAACGGGTAACTTTTTCATGCAAAGGGTGGTGCGTGTATGGAATGAGCTACCATAGGAAGTGGTGGAGGCTGGTACAATTACGACATTTTCGAAGGAGTCTGGATGGGTAGATAAATAGGAAGAATTTAGATGGATATGTTTGAAATGATGGCAAATGGGACTAGATTTATCCAGATATCTGGTTAGCATGGACAAGTTGGACCAAAGGGTCTGTTTCTGTGCTGTACATCTATGACTCTGACATTGGCAATGTACAGCAGTCATCTCAAACCCCTTGAGAAATATCACCAGCACCACCTCTGCACTATCTTGTAAACCCACTGCCAGGATAGATGCTATCAACTGCAATGGACAGACCAAATCATCTGCTTGCTTGACCCAAGACTTCCCAATGGAGCTCCTTCGTGCCAAGAGGGCAGAGGAATCTCTTCAAGGATTCCCTCTCGGGTTTCTTCGTATTCCCACTGATTTGTGGGAATCTGTTGCCCAAGGTTTCCAAATAGGAAAAAGGAACATTCATGAAGGTGCCAACATCTTACAGGCCCAGATGGCAGTCTACACTTGCCACTGGTTCTGTCTCTACACGGTCACTGGTTGCACAATACTAATGGAATCACTTTTAATACTTGCCCTTCTCTTGCTGTGGATACGTGACCTCACCCAGCAAGTGACCCTGATGTTTTTTCAAAAATTTAAACTGGGATTGAACTTCTCTAATCATTTCTCATTGTAAATATGTGGTGGTGGTGGTGGAGTGCCTGAGTACTTAGTGGGTCAGACCTTCTCCACCTGTTTGCTGCATTTGAAGACATTTTTGGTCTTGGATAGGCATCTGCGTTTGAGTCTGCTGCTGGCCTTGTTACTGCTTTTCTGGCTGTTTGCTCCTTTCTTCTTTCTGTTTTAGTTGTTTAAGAATTTCGTTTGCATAAATAATATTACATTTTCCTTTTCCTCAGCTTAATCCCCTGGCCCTAACACCTCCAACCACCCCATCTTGTATGTGTTGCTTTAAAAAACTTGGGTTATGGATATTTACAGAATTCTGTAAATATTTACAAAGCAGACCAGAAAAGCCAACTTTCAAATGGTAATTAACCAATGATATTGTCCAGCTTTACAAATCTCAGCTACTTGCACATGACAGTAGTGTGGATCTAAAGGGCAACTAATTTTTGAAATTATTTTTGACTCTTGAGAGAGTGGATAACACTGTTTCTTGATGTTGCTGAATATAGCTGTTCATAATAGTTTGTGTTTCTTCCAGGATTATTGCAATGATGAGTCCTGAAGACAGTTGGGTCTCCAAATGGCAGCGGATAAGTAAGTTTAGAATGATCTCGGGCAGGTTGCAATATGGTAATATTGAATTTCGGCATTATTTTGGAGGAGGGGAACAATAATTACCTTGGCAGTAGATTGTGTACCATTCTGACGTGTCACTGATCATCCTGTGCCGTGAAATTGTGTGAATAATGCCTTATTCTACCTAGTATCTGTAAGTATGAGGTTGTTGACTTGCTTGCCGAGCTGGCTTGTTTTCGTTCAGACGTTTCATCACCATGCTAGGTGACACCATCAGTGTTACATTGCTTCATCGGAGGCCTCACTGATGTCACCTAGCATGGTGACAAAATGTCTGAACAAAAACAAGTCAACAATCGCACCTACAACCTGAGCTACAAACCTTTGCCGAAACTTTAAACTGTAGGTATGATTTTAGTAAGCTGACAAATCAAGGCTGTTGAACTTCATGCTTTGCTGTAGTCAATTCATACAGATCTAAAAATAGAGGCAAGTCATTATCTGTGTCTTGGTATGTGTACAGAAATCCAAGCAGAACTTCGAACTTCTTAATACCTTTAAAACTTTCTAAACCCTAACTGTTAAATGTCAGAACACTTCACTCTATTGTTCACAATTCTGCAAAATTGGCTGCTGTTGAGCTGTGCAAGGACAACAGCCCGAGACATTAAGAGGAGATTTGTTTTCTTTCTTGCCTAATCTTTCCCGTTGTCTTCTCTCTGCTATTATTCTGGTATAAAGTAGCTAGCTGAAGTAACACTATTCATATGTGAACTTTGTCCTCCCACCCAATCAGTCTTTGCAGTATCATTTAAGAGTCACTGCTTAGCAACCATGAACAAGTTATGACTAATTTGCTATTCTAGTCAGACAGTTTGAGACACTGCAGTCCGTTTAAGATCACAGACTTGATGCCCAATTGGTCTGTATGGTTCAACTGTCGTGAGGAGCATGTGCTTTTAAAAATTCTTTAATCGGTTGGAGACATTCAAATACATGGAAACTTGCAAGTTCCCCTCCAAGCCACTTGCCATCCTGATTTGGAACTATTTGCTTTCTCATCGTTTTGCTGGGTAAAATCCTTAACTTGTTCCCTACGGGCATTGTGGGTTCTACCTGGTATTGCAGCAGTTCAACAACAACAGCCATCTGCATCCTTTCAAGGACAGCAAGGGATACATGATAAATGCTGGCCGAGACGACAATGGCTATATCCCTTGAATACTTACTTTAAAAATCAGAATCTAACTTATTTTCTGAATGCTACAGGCACTGGGGACACAGGCGATCAGTTGCTCATCACAGAATTCCTAGTCTCTGATCTGCTCTTGTAACCACAGTACTGGCTGTCTGGTTCAGTTTCTGGTCAATAGCAAACCTGAGGATGCTATTAGTGAGGGATTCGGAAACAACGTAATTGAGCATCAAGGGGTGATGGTTATGTTCTCTCTCTTGTTCGAAATATTCATTGGTAAAAATGTTACTTGTCACTAAGCCCAAACCTGGATTTTGTCCAGGTCTTGCTGCGCTTATGCAATATTGAGGTGTCATGAATGGTGCTGAACAATCAGCAATTATCAGTGAACAGCCTGCCTTTTGAGCATATAATGGAAGGAAGGTCATTGAAACAATCAAAAATGGTTTGGTCTACGACACTACCCTGTGGAACTCCTGCAGTGATCTCCCGAGACTGAGACGATTGACCTTCAACAACCACAACTATCTTCCTTTATGTGAGGTATGAATCACAGAATCATAAGAGTACAGAAGTCCATTGAGTCTGCACTGACAAAAACTACTCTAAATTTACACTAATCCCACTTTCCAGCACTTAACCCACAGCCTTGAATATTATGACATTTAAAGTGCTTATCCAACTGCAACTTTTAAAAGTTGTGAAGTTTCCCAGCTCTAGTACTCTCTCAGACAACTCATTCTTGATTCCCACCACTATCTGGGTAAACACTTTTTTCAAATTCCCTTTTAAACCTTCTGCCTTTCTCGTTTTAACTATACCTCCATTTTATTAATCTTTCAACTAAGGGAATGGTTGGTATCTGTCTACGCTGTCCATACCTCTTATTATCTTATATACCTCAATCAGGTTCCTTGTCAGCCTTCTGTACTCTAGAGCAGCAACCCAAGCTTATCCACCCTCTCTTAGTAGCTGATCTGCTCTACCAGAGGGACTTCCTGGTGAATCTCCTCTGCATCCTTTCAAGTGCAGTAACACCCTTCCAGTGACCAGAACTGCACACAAGTGCAGCTGTGCTGTTGACAATGTTTGAACTACTGCCAAGAGACTTTGTGGGATCCAGAGACTGTGCTGAAGAGGGCAACTCCTACTTGACACTATACCACTGCAGCCAAGCAGGGATGATGGTTGTGTCTGATACATTTGTAATGCACATACGTACGACTGTCAGGCTGTTGCTTGACCAGTCTGTAGGACCGCTCTGCCAATTTTTTGGCAGAAGTCCCAAGATGTTGGTAAGGATGATTTTGCTGGGTAAACAAGGGTGTGTTTGCTATGTTGTTTCTGACCCTGGTTCAATGCCAGGTGACCTGTTTGATTTCAGTCCTTAAACTTTGGTGGTTTGATACAACTGAGTAGTTTGGGAGTATTTCACAGGTCAGTTTACAGTCATGTGTAGGCTAGAGCAGTAAACACGTTAGATTTCCTTCCCTCGAAGTGAAGAAAGTCACTGGACTCAAAGTTAACTCTGCTTTCTCTTTACAGGTGCTGTCAGACCTGCTGCGCTTTGGCAGCAATTTCTGTTTCTTTGTTTCAGATTTCCAGCATCCACAGTTCTTTGTTTTATTCCTCTAAAAATACTGTCTGTTTGAAATTTGTTTATATGTACTAGAGCCGTATTTTTATGTCGTAATTGTAACATTCAGTCTAAAATACTCCTGGTTGAAAATTAGTGATCGTGATTTGATTTTAAGCTAATACAGGAATGAAAATTTTTTTGTGCATAATCTGGAACTCAATAACTATCTTACACAAGACAGTGCTTCATAATCCTGCATTTGCCTGAATTGCTGTATGATGACTTGCATGTATTACCTAATGATACGGGTATACCTACTTCTTGTTTTCTAGGTAACTTCAAGCCAGGGATATATGCGGTATCAGTGACAGGACGGTTACCTCAGGGTAAGAATGTACATGATATGTCATGGTTACACTTTTATCGATCACTCTGAAAACCAAACAATGTTTCCACCCGGTTGGGCAAGTGGCCTATAATTGTATGCTGTGAATGCCACGCAATCCTGGATGAATTGACTTCAATGACCTTTCCAATCAGTCATTGTTTCTTACAGATTAGAACCAAAATGTAGCAATTGCATAATTTAGATTCTGCAGCAACTTTGTAACAAGTAGGTACAATTCAGTACGGTACGTAACTTTTAATTTCAGGCACTTGTAACAGAAATTCAGCCAGGAGAAAGTGAGAAAAGCTGTACTCCTCTGCACATAGCAGAGGGTTATCTATTTGGTAATCAGTGCTGGAAGGTTGTTGCCTAGTTTATTTGGAAGACGATTTAAAAAGAGTTGTAGAGTCCTACAGCATGGAGACAGATCCTTCGGCCAAATCGTCCATACCAACCAGTTTCCTAAATTGAACGAGTCACATTTGCCTGCTTTTGGCCCATATTCCTCTAAATTGTTCCTATCCATGTACTTGTCCAAATGTCTTTTAAAGGTTGTAATTTTAGTCGCCTCTGCCTCTGGCAGTCCATTCCACATACGCATCGCCCTCTGTGAAAACATTGTCCCTCCGGTCCCTTTTTAAATCTTTCCCCTCTCTCCTTAAACCTGTGCCGTCTAGTTTTGGACTTCCCTACCCTGGGGAAAAGACCTTGACCGTTTGCCCTATCCATGCCCCTCATGATTTTATAAACCTCTATAAGGTCACCCTCTGCCTCCTAGGCTTGAGAAAATGTCCCAGCCTATCCATCCTCACGTTTTCACTGTACCCCTCCAGCCTTGGTAACATCCTTATAAACCTTGTAAACCCACAGACAGGAAGAGAGCCAAATCAAACCACCAGCTTACTGATGAGAAAGGACACAAGAATGAAAAACCACATGCTCACATGGAAACAGACATCCCAATCTGACCTAGTCCCATTTGTCAGCATTTGGCCCATATTCCTCTCGAACCTTCCTATTCATGTACCCGTCCAGATACCTCTTAAATGTTGCAATTGTACTAGCCTCCATCACTTCCTCTGGCAGCTCATCCCATACTTTCATCACCTTCTGCATGGAAAAGTTACCCCTCCGGTCCTTCTTTTAAATCTTTCTCCTTTCACATTAAACCTGTGCTCTCCTACTTTTGGACTCCCCTACCTGAGGCAAAAGACCTTGGCTATTCACCCTATCCATGCCTGTAATGATGTCCGCTCCATGGAAAAAAGCCACCCCAGCCTATTCAGCCTCTCCTAATAACTCAAACCCTCCAGTCCCAGCAACATCCTTGTAAATCTTTTCTGCACTCTGCTGTTTAACAACATCCTTTTTATAGAACAGCAACTAGAATGTACGCAGAATTCTAAAAGTGACCTCACCAATGTCCTGTGCAGCTGCAACATAACGTCTCAACTCCTTGTTCCCAACGTTCTTTCCAGCGAAGGCAAGCATACCAAACGTTGCCTTCGCCAGACTTTTGCAAGTCTGTCTAGGTTAGGAATAAAGGTGGATCCAGTCACATTTTGGCTCAAGTTGACCAGATAAGAAATAAGTTTGATTGGAATAATATTTTAAGCCTTTTTCAAGTTACAAAACACTATGGAGCCAGGTTTTTAAAAAAAAAAGTCTACAATTGTTAATTCACATTCTTAAACAAAATAACTTTGACTTTACAGTGCCCTTATCATCTGTGTTCACTGGTTCCACCTTTTCAGAAGATCAGAGAAATACAAATGAGGATTGACTTCTAGCTCGTGTAGCAAAGAAATACGCTTTCCAATTAATGTAACATGATTAGATTTTAGCTAGTAAACGCTTGATTTTAAAGAATTCAGGATTTGCCACTGAACCCAGCATCATTATAGTTGTAAAAATTCCATAATAAAAGCAATACTAACTTCTAATGCTTGCCACAAGCTCCATCTTGGAGTGGGGCTTCAACTCTCGTCCTTCCCCCTCTGTGAAAGAAGGCATCTATTGAGCCAAGCTGTGTTTTTATTCCTAATATCCAATGATAGTTCCAAGTATTTCACAGCCAGCATTTAATGAGAAAATTTCAATTCTTACATAATAATGAATTAATTGCATTTAATTTCTGCCAGGTGTCCTGCTAAGATTTGAATCCATGTGTTCTGTGCATCAGCCTCAGCCTACAGATTATTATTCCTGTGACAGTACCAGTATGTCACCATCCCCCTTTTATAGTGGAGTACTATGACTCCTGTAATTCTACCTGGCTTTGGGAGTAGATCTGAATCATCAGTTAGTGCAATAGATAATATAACAAACCCGTCTCCTTGTTGTCTAGTGGCTTGACTTGTGAATCTGTGCCCATTTACAGTTTCGTCTCAATCTGTGCCTACAGGTATTGTACGGGAACTGAAGAGTCGCGGTGTGATCTACAAATCAAGAGACACTGCTATCAAATCTTAATGGATCCATTTTGCTGTCAAAATTATTACTAATGATTCTTTCCAACTAGGTTTCATGTTTACCTACTTGTAACTAGAAGATTTCTGTCATGTTCTTACTGCAGATGTATTGCAATACATTTATGTATCAGTGAATTGCTTTTGCATTCTCCAAGAAAAATTGAGTACGACAGTTGGTAATTTTAAATCAAATTTGACTGTTTAGTGCTGATTGCAGTGAAGTTCTACTATGTACAAAGGAAGCATCAACAGTGCTTGGGTATCTAAAATCCCAAAACTACTTTGAAGAAGAATTGGGACAAGAGAAAAGTTGAAGATGGATTTGATTAGTATTTATTGAAGAATTGAGAAATGGTAGAACTGGCAAGATGCTCTTTAAATTTCAAAGGCTTGTAGTCTTACTTCCATGTTTCATGTGCAACAATACATTTTGGACAGTATTACAATGAAGAGGAAAATTGACTAATAAAACAACCTTAAATATTCAATTTGAGTCTCAGCAATAATTCAGTTGGTAGCTCTCACCTGTAATGGCTTGAGCACAAAATCAAGGCTGACACTAGTGAAATACTGCTGGAGTGAGATATTAAACATGTCTTCATGCTTGAGTGGTTGTTAAAAATCCCATGGCACTATTTTTGAAGCGTGGAGGAGTCATTCCCATTGTCATGGTGAATGTTTATCCATAAATTAAAACCAAAAACAGTTTATTTGGTCATTATCATTGCTGTGTACAAGAATTTGCTATAGACAAATTGGCTACTGGATTTCCTAGACTACAGCAATGTCTACGTGTGAAGAGCACTTTTGGGCTGTGGTTGTGAAAATGGCTGTGTAAAATGCAAGTCTTTTTCTCTTTAAATAGCACATTTTAAAGTGGTGTAACCTTTTCAGTTCCCTTCAGAGCACTGTGTTTGAGCGAAAATTAACAAAGCTGCATAGATATTTTGATCGGAGAGATATATTTTTTAAAGCCTCTTTAAAAGAGGACTGAGGCTGAGTTTTCAAGAAAATTTCAGATTTAGAGCCTAGGCAACTAAAGGCAGGGCTGTCAATGGCCGAACGTTTAAATTGTGGGTGACCTGGAGACCAGAAATGGAGGAGTGCATATATCTTGAAGGTTTGTAGGACTAGAGAACATCACAGCGTAAGGAGAGATGTGAAAACAAGCCTGAGACTGTTAAAATTAAAGTTTTCTTGAACAAGTAGTTTGTCGGTGGGTGTTGGGTTGAGTGAATGAAACCGAATGAGGACATGGGTAGCAGAATTTTGGGTCTCCTAATGTGCTGTGAAACAAAACATCAACTCAAAAGTTTGCATCATATCAACTCATTGTTCTCGTTTGTACAGTATACATTTACTTGCCTTGCCTCGTCTTTGTTTGCTGATTAACTTTTTAAGATCAGCAGGGTCTTGTGATATCATAACTAAAGTGTTTATTTTAATCTGGATCTATATACTTGAATTTCACTTTAGAATCAGGTCAGAGCACATGCTGACAACTTGTGTTTGACAAAGAGGCTTCAAGGTTTAATGTGGCACCTGTATTTTCAATACTAGATGCATCTTTCACAATCCACAATGATACCTGTGTTTTGTGCTGCTTCAGTTTGCATAGGTCATTAGTGTAAATATTGATTATATGCTGCAAGTATTGTGATGTCAGACTGTTTGTTTGCTTTTACTTCACTGTTACACACTAAGTTCTGGAAATACTCGACAGGTTTGCCAGCATTTCTCTAGAGAGAAACAGCCTTAATTTCAGTTCTGTGTCCTTTCATCCAAACTGGGCAAAATTCACAAATGTATTTGAAAAGGATGGGCAAACAACAAAAAAAACAACTATAATTGCACAAAGCAAGAGAAAGTGAATGACTATATGGTCCAAGGTCAGTGGAGTGGAATAGAACAAGAAGAAATTTACCTTGGGGAGGTGTGAATGACAGGATCTTGAACAGCTGCCATCCTAAAGAAAAGGAACAAAAATAACTGGCAAAAGAAAAGGAAGCCAAATATGGGCACAGGTTACAGTCTGTAAAATTGTTGAACCCCAGATCGAGTGCAGTAGGTTCTAAAGTAACCTTCTGAACATGAGTTTAGAAATGTGCTTCAATTTACCCTCTTAAATTCACAATTTGAGATGTAGCTATTAAAAGGGAGCCTTTGCATTCTTTAAAATACTTTGCAGCCAATGGAGTCCACCTGAAATATGGTCACTGTTTGAAAATTGGAAATTTACACAGCAAAGACCAACAAACAATATTGGGATAAACATTAAACATATTTTCTGATTATTTAAGGGATGAATATTGACTATGATGCCAGGAAAAGTTAGAAATTGTTCTTCCAGTGTTGTGGTTTTTATATTCATTTGAGAGAACAAAAGTTTTGACTTGATATCACTTCAGAAAGATGGCAGCTCCTACACAAACAATTTGATTATTACTCCAGAATGTCAGCCAAGGTTATGCACTTTACTGGAGTACAGCTTTACTTGTAACCTTCCTTCTCAGGAAGAGTGCTATTTTTCCTATCCTTTCTAACCTGCATAGAAAACCGGGTTAGATGACTTCATGGTGTCTTCATAGGATTTTAATAATTTTATCGTTGCTCAGATTAGAAAAGCTCAGATCTTACTAATGAGCAGAATCACACCAATTGTACCATCTCTGGTTAGCCACTGCGGGGTAGTAGTGGTGCTGACAATCGCACAGCTGAGACAATTGTCTTCCAAGAACTATAACCATCTTCCTTTGAGTTGTGTATGACTACAGTCAGCAGAGATGTTTTTTTTTCCTTGATTCTAATTAATTTCAGTTTTACTAAATGCAGCAGAAAGGAGGCCATGTCACATGCTGCCTTAATGTTAAGGGAAGTCTGTCTCACCTCATCTTTTGACTATGTTTTGAGCAAGGCTGAGGCCTGGAGCCAAGTGAGTAGGTTGTTGTTGAGTAAGTGCCACCATCGACAGTACTTGCTATCAGTTTGAGAGTAGACCATTGGGGTAGTGATTGGCTGATGGCATTTGCTTTATTTTTGTGGACATGACATACTTAGACAATTTTCCTCATTTTTAGTAAAAGCTAATTTTGTAGCTGCACTATAATGAGGTTGTGTAGATGAATGGCAATGTTTGGAGCATGAGTCTTTGGTATTCAGCTGAGTATTCTGTGCCATTAGTCTTTGCTGCACATAATGCCTTCAACCATTTATAAAGCCATAACGATTTCTTAAAGTTTTGTGAAAATTTATATTTCTAATTGAAATTAGACACTTAAACAGCTGCATTCTGAAGAAGACGGAAAAGCCCAGTCTCTCTAAATGATAACACATTTTAGGCTGATAGTTATCAAAAAACCGAGTATCTAAAACCAAAAGAACTGCAGAAGCTGTAAACCAGGAATAAAGACAAGTTGCTGGAAAAGCTCAGCAAAATAATCAGTTAACATTTTCGGGTCCGGCCTCTCAACAGGTCTGAGGAAGTATCACCAGACCCGAAATGTTAACTCATAATTTTTTTTTTTCTTCACAGATGCTGCCAGACCTGCTGAGCTTTTCCAGGAACTTCTGTTTTTGTTGTGTGCAGTGTGAGTATAATGTTCTTCAACATTTTGGCCTTTGTCATTGAGTGTGCAGTATTTTATTTGTTAATTATTTTGTGTGCATAAAATGTAATCTTTTTGTCTGCCCAGATTGATTGTCGTGTTTTTGTCCATCTTTTCCAGTCAACAATTTAAGTGAATTAGTTGACCTGTCATATGTGAACTCTAATAGTCAAATGCACAATGACATGTTTCAATTCCATGTACAGAAACTGATTAAACCACTAAGAAAATACTGAATTTTAAGACTGGATTGTCTAATTGCCTGTCAGAATCTTGGTTAGGATTTCTGTTAAAAGGGAATTATAGTTAATTTACTTGCAGTACCCATTACACCCACCCTGTGGCACCATTATTCTAAAAGTCATTGAGTGTTTGCCATTAACAGTTCCAAGGCATAAGGTGGTTGTTTGCAGAAACCTAAAGAAAGACCTAACTGCTGTTATAGACAGGAGATGAGATAATTTTCTTCTTGCACCACCACGCCCCCGCCACCCACCAACCGCATAGGTATTTTTGAGGAGGAGTGTTTTAACTTTCAGGAACAGATGCAAAACAGCATTTCTAGTATGGTTAAATCAAAAGGAGGAGGAGAAGTTAACTGTTCAGGTGTTGAGCAAATAAATGCAATACCTGTCCCTCATCCCCCACAAGACATGCACACATAATGACCAAAATAGGCAGCATGTACAGCTATCTTTGAGAATTGATAAGTGACTATTAAATTGTTCCTTTCAAGATGGTCTTTGGAAGCATTTCAGGATTGAAAATTGCCTTTGAACTGCTGAAAGAAAAGTAAGTGAATTTCCAATGATGTGCTAAGCAATGGCAGGTCTGCAGTTGTGGTATTGTTATGTTATTCAAATTTGATCACCTCTGAACATTTTCGGGTACATTTGCTGTTTAATACCCCTTTAAAGGCATAGCTGGTTTCTGCAGTCACAACTTGCCACATATATAGCTGAGCATGATCTTTTGATCCTTACTCTATTAATATCTACACTGTGGTGTCACCTCTTAAAACACTTGGAATTATATAGAACTGAAAATTATTTTCAAGTCATCGCATATTTTGAATTCTTTTTTTTCTTTAAATATTTGCCTTGGTGATGCTGTGAACTAGATTTATAGCTATTTGTCTCTGGAACGTGGATCATTGGAATAGCTCCTGGTGCATGAAGCCGTTTGGCCCATTGTTTATGCCAGCAAGAATAAGCCATCTTTGTCCATTCTTCTGATTCAGACCACACTGCTGAGATGAAAGTCTGGCTGTTGGCTGCACATTTTTATTCCAGTTCCTTGTGCGTACGAATTTGCAATCCCAAACTATCCCTAATTGGAAACCAAGCACTGCAGATGTTGCAAGTCTGAAACAAAAACAGAAATTGCTGGAGAAAGTCAGCAGGTCTTCAGAACTGAAGAAGGATCGTTGGACTTAAACGTTAACTCTGCTTTCTCTCCTTAGATGTTGCCAGACCTGCTGAGTTTCTCCAGCAATTCCTGTTTCTGTTTATCCCAATTCAATACTGATTGGTAAATATGTTCAGATCATAGAATACGTGTGGAAAATGGTGTATTCTTGTATAATGTTTATTTTTGAATGTTTTGGGTCAGATTTACAAGAAGTCAGGGCTAGGCCTTGTGGGGAATGGTTGGTGCTGACACAAATACCAGTGTTCCATTCATCAGTGATGACATTCCTCATCTTGAGCACAAAAATAAAGTTCCTCTTCCTGCAATTTGCTTCTAATTATACATTCTTGTGTATATACATCAACAAGGCTGCAGCCCTTATTTAAATTTTTCAGTGGGTTGTTCCTCGAGTTTTGCTCTTTAATTCTGTGCTCCTAATCTTTGGCCGTACAGTAAAGTGTAGGAAGATTGGA